CAGAAAATCTAGTGAAGAAGAGACTAAAAAAAGAAACTCTAAAACAGTCGAAAAAAAAAAATAAAAATAAAATAAAATAAAATAAAGAACACCCACCAAAAGAGCGGAAAGTTATGAAAATAAAGCAAAGCGAAAAAAAAACGGCAAAACTTTGGACAACAATACTTTTTTTGTGTCTATCTGTGGGTTTTTTTATCCGTCAACAAACACAGTGAATCTGTGTGTATTATTTGGTACATTGAAAAAAAAAAACCTGCTTACAAATAAAGAATGACAGCAATAGGCAAAAGCAAAGTTAAATGATAGCTAATCACTGGGAAAATTTTTTAATCAAATGCCGAGAAATGCCAAGAAAAAAATGCTTACTTTATCCTAACGTATTTTCAGGAGTGAAAAGGATGAATGGAATATCCAAATGCTTTTCTTTGCTTTTTTTTTTTTGTTCTTTCGTGGTCACCTACTACTTTTTTTTCTATTTGTTTTCGTACTATGTTGCTTTTTTTTTTTGTTTACACATTTAAAGCTTAGCAAAACAAAAATATTTGGTTCAAATCAAAATTCCTCATAAATTTAGTTCTTTGAACAAAATTTAGGGTAGTTTTAGTAGTGTTTAGCATACAACAGTAATAACGTATGGACAAACAACAGTATGTTTTGGTTAAATAGGACAGTTGATTTTCATTGAAACGTTTGTTACTGTTTGAAAAAATGAATAAATAAATTACTGTTGCTACAAAAAAATAAAAAAGAAAACATTTTTTTTTGTTTTTTATTACTTTAGTTAATGTCTATTTCTTCACTATATTGATGATAGATCAGAACTGTAGTATCCAAACATCTATCACTTCTTTGAAACGATCAAATGTAAATATGGCAGTTTGAATAAATTAATACTTTTTTTTTTTTCGTTTTATTCTTTAGTTAAAACTTATCTGAATGGTTAATAAAAAACAACAACAACTTTTATGTATGCTAAACCAACATTAATGATTCAAATACTTTTACCGGTGTAATTTACAAGAAAAAAAAGATTTTTTTGGCAAATTAATTTTTTGCTTCTTATTTGGTTACTGTTTATTGTATCATTAATTTTCAATCATAGAAGTGTATCAAAATTTCAACAAATTTATATAGTGTAAAATTTTTTGAACGATTGACAGATTGTTTCTTTTATTTTTACATATATCTACAATTTTCTACTTAAGTAATACACCTACTGAACTGTACTTAATATAAAAAAAAAAAAAATCTGGTATACTTGTTTTCTGAGTACCATCGCTTTAAAAAAAAAACGGGAAAATTAAGAAGTAGAAAAAAAACTGTTGCCAGTACCACCGGCAGTGAAAATAACTAATGTTGTTGTCGTTGTTGTTGTTAATATTTTTTTTCTGATTTTTTTTTT